TTCACACACCACAATCGTAGCTCATCACTCAAAGACTACATGTGACAAGTTCACACAATCGTAGCTCATCACTCAAAGACTACATGTGACAGATTCACACACCACAATCGTAGCTCATCACTCAAAGACTACATGTGACAAGTTCACACAATCGTAGCTCATCACTCAAAGACTACATGTGACAGATTCACACACCACAATCGTAGCTCATCACTCAAAGACTACATGTGACAGGTTCACACACTACAATCGTAGCTCATCACTCAAAGATAGGTCAGGACTGACACAGCTCCCCGACCCTGAAACTTTTTGAGTGGACTTGTGACCAACACGCTGACAGAATGACACACGGTCATGTGACCAACAAGCTGGCAGAACGACACACGGTCATGTGACCAACACGCTGACAGAATGACATACGGTCATGTCAGTTGTCACAAAGACTTAGTCGTACCACTGTGTAAACTGGCAGTGATGTACAGTCATGAATTTACAAAATGACGTATGGCCAAGTGAGCTGACACAATGACGTATGGCCAGGTGAGCTGACAGAATGACGTATGGCCAGGTGAGCTGACACAATGACGTATGGCCAGGTGAGCTGACACAATGACGTATGGCCAGGTGAGCTGACACAATGACGTATGGCCAGGTGAGCTGACACAATGACGGACTGTCATGTGGAGCTGAGCAAAAAGATGTAAGTCTACCGGCTCCTCACAAACGCTGGTGGAGAAACCACGGAGCCCAGACCAATCTTACGTGTTTGGAGCCATTCCAAACTTGTACAGCTCTACCACTCTCCTCCCAAATCGTTACAACAACAGGATTGCTCACTCTCGTACAGCAAGACACAGGTATGAGCTTGTGTCCATCTAGAAAAATGTTGATTGTCTTAACAACAGGGGGGATGCACTCACTGACGACCTGTTTCAAGAAACCCAGGAGAAAAAACAAAACTGTTCTCAACTGGAGAGGGAAAAAACCCTTATAAAAAAATCATCTTTTGTGCCATTTGATCAGAAGGAAAGCATAGACATAGACATAGATTTGACAGATTTTAAGGAATTTGTTCTACAAAATGGGTTACTTCTCGCAATCCACGGAGGGTGATAACATTCACAAATCTACACTGGGGTTAAAGTTGCAGATCTTCAATTGATGTCATTTTCTTATCGTTTACCCTGTTTTTCATGTTTTTCATGATTTCCTTCTCCTAATTGTTCCTATCCCACCAGCAAACCTCGATTCATCTACTCCCATGAGGCGACATTCGGAGAGGCAGCTCGTTCTGTCAGTTTGCCTCACAGATTGGAACCTGGGTCACCAAACAGCGTGAAGACATATGCCGGAGGGTAACGTTGGAAATCTACACCGGTAAACTAAAACAACATCCTGTGACAGAAAACTGTGTTGCAGGGTAGTGAGATCGGGCAATTGTCAAAACAACCAAATTTTTAAAAAAATGGACATTTCTCACCTGTTGGGCAATTTTGATCTGATAAAAATAATTTTAAAATTTGGCTGGCAACTTTAACATCCATTTAACAAACACATTTCTGTGAGGATCTTACTTTTCAAACTTGGATCAAAGACACAAAAGATGTAAATTGGCAGTTTCCAAGGACTCTCAAGCTTCGTCAGTCACCAAACTATGGAAGCCATCTTCTCGCTAATTTAACTTATGAAACAGGCGACCCCCCCCCCCCCTTCCTTTAATTGCACATGTTTCTCCATCTATTCAAGATAGATGGATTTTCCTTCTTTTTTTACCACAATCAAGACAAATGAACCAGCTTTAAGGCTCCAACAATGACTCTCTATATGTCCAAAAGTTGCCGAGGGCCTGACTCCACCGCCGCACGCCGACACAAACAGGTTTCCTGAAATAAGCCGCCAGGATAGAGGAGAAACTTGGATCTATATCAAACGCGTCTCACCGTTCCTCAATCAATTCATAACAATATGACAACAAAATGAAGAAAGTTTCATCCCAAACAAACAGTAGTTAATTAACACTCATTTGTCATCCTCATCTGACATTCCTAAATAATTGACAAACAAACATTTGTATTGTAAAAACACTGGCTCAATGTGGATGAGACTGTAATATCCTCACCACTTATATAATTTAGCTTTAAGATTACACTGTCAAATTATCATAGGATAAATATTTTGAGCATCATGAAGCTTATGAATCAAATCAGCTATCACAAAATGAATTATTGTGAAGTTGTCAGCTTACTACTATAGTTTCTAGCTAGTCTACAGTTTGCACAGCGGCACATTTCACAACAAGAACAAGGGAACGAAAAATTAGGGAAATGATGAAAAACTACAAGGATCTGGAGAGCAGTCCATTCGTCACATTTCTCAACACGTCTCAGATAATCCAACACGTCTCAGATAGTTCAACACGTCTCAGACAGTTCAACACGTATCAGACAGTTCAACACATATCAGATAATTCAGCATGTGTCAGATAATTTATTGTCAGGCATAATTCTTTGAGTGGCAGTACCGCTAAGTATCGCCATCTTGCAGCGCCATCTCGCACCATTGCTCAAGGCAAATAGAAGGAGCCGAAAGTGGGCCGTATTTCTCGCCACTTGTGTAGACAGGAAGTGAGGCGGAGAGCAAGGTCGCTAGCTCCCGTGACGGCTGTGTAGATGTTGTTATTGATCCAGACGGCTGTGTAGATGTTGTTATTGATCCAGACGGCTGTGTAGATGTTGTTATTGATCCAGACGGTGTGTAGATCTAACACCTGGCGGAGACAAAGAGGAGAGGAAACATTAGATTGTTGTCACAGAAAAATAATGTCACATTTTCTCTTTGTGTCTGTCTCTGTGTGAAGTCTGCAAGGAAAGGACAAGAAAGTTGTAGTTTGAAGAGGGAGAAGCAACCGAAGTACTAACTACTAGTTCTCTGTACACGGCACATCGGTGCTCGTGGCGTTTAACAACTGTCATATACCCCGACTAGAACACTGGGTCACTCACAAACATTCCTGGCTTCCTGGGAAGCATACAGTCCAAGCTACAGATTGCACGCGCTCAGACACTAATAAATGTACAAGACATAATATCGCTGTCCACAGCTGGGTACCCATTCCCACCGGGGTGAAGTGAGGAAAACTTGTGTAGTGTACCCGTGCCTTTCCCAAATACACAACGTCAAGACCTAACGAGATTTGAACCCTGGACCTTACAGCTGAGAGTCCACAAGTCTAACCACTACGCCACTGATATGAAAACTGTCAGACAGACAGACAGACAGACAGACAGACAGACAGACAGACAGACAGACAGACAG